GTATAACCCAGTTACACCCATTATCATTGTTAGTATGATTGTAATTGTGACGTATAAACAAACCCATGTGATGGGAAATGAAAATTGCGCATGCGCACTGAACTAAATAGAAATAGTACAAGGCAAAGTAGTTATATCTGTAAACGCCGCCGACATCAAACAATCCAAAGAAAAACAACTATGCGAAAATCACAAGAGAAGGGAGTGGGGATTTGATGTTGAAACATCGCTTACCCTTTAGTGGATGCGACCATAGAACGTGCCCTAAATATGTGGCGATAGATAGTAGATAGGACAGGATAATATCTCTGTCTCCTGTGTAATAGGTGAATACGTATGGATGTTAGAAAGAAAAATCGTCTGCTAGAGGTAAACTCCTAGTCATTTCTCAATGTCAATGTTGTCCAGCCAAAGTGAAAACGCGTGCTTCAATAGCGTCATTTGGAAAAGAGGACCAATTTGTATAATTTTTATTGATAAGTGTATATTACATTTGTGATCAGTTCCCTCACTTGACTATTGGAATTAAATTAATATATCATCAGTTAGCCTTTGAACTTTTAAATTCGTCGCTTTCATATGTGTAATGTGACAGATGTGGCGTCTGTATGTTTGCAACATTCAAGGTATTTCAACTTTTGGTATTGGTTAAGATACAATAAGAATCATGAATACTATTAAAGGGAGATAACTAAGTCAGATAATACAATTGCAAATCCAATCTGAATGATTTATTTTGACAAAAATATTGAAAAAGTCTTTTATATGAGAAAACAATAGTAAAATGTTACGATATAACCATGTTGAGTGATAAACACATAAAAAGAGATGACCAAATTCTCCATTCACGGCTTGTATTTAGGCGCTCATTGAGAATAGAGTTTCGTCGTTAGTCCACGTGTTAGGCTCCCACTATCACGATTCCGATCACTTTTGAAATCGTGATCACAATTCCGGGGATCCTATCATGTCTTGGCAGATCTTGAGGTAACTTTTAGAATGGTTCGATTAATACGATCATTTTTTGTCATTGGGGACCACCGTAGCAAAGCGTTTTGTATCGTGTCCAAGAGCGACGGATCTCATCTATTGTGCTTTCAAATCGTGTTGAGAGGGATTTACCTTGTACAAGACAAAAAAAGGTTTTAAAAATGTCGTGCAATTCATTTCCAAGGCCACGAGATGCGATTTTTAGCGCTCGTACGCGATCGGTTCACGATTTGCCATTTTCAGGTGTCACGTTCTTATCGTCCGATCAGATAGATAACACACGTTCCGTTAGGATCTTTTTGATTGATTCCAAGATTTGATGTTTGTCTCGTCTAAGATCGATCCGATTTCGTAGCACGATTAGATACGATTCTTCACGTTATATTAATATAAAATATGATCTGATAAGATGATCCAGATTGACAAATAATCGTGTTGAGCGTATAATACCATAGGAAATCAATTGTGTCAGATCTAAACTTAGTCTATCAAAACGTCTGTGATCGTATCTAAACGAAATACCAGATATATAGAAATTGACAAAGTTTGGTTAGTGAAAATTATTTTGTAATTTGGACTGTAGACAAATTTGAATGCTTGAAAAGGGTCCACGTCTATAGTCGAATAATAATAATATTTATGCATACACGGAATGTATCAATTGAAATTCAACACAGTAGAAAATAGAATGATCGACACGACATTTGCAGGAATCGTGTCCGAACCCGTACCTATTGCATTACATTCCTACATTTTCTAGTTTGCCCCGAGTACCATACTCTGTTTAACAACAATTCTTAATTTTCAAATAATGATTACAAGATAAATAGTGAAGAATAATTCTTACATTTGGCACCATGCTCCAGGAATCTGTACATAAAAAGTAGCACTATTTCTTTTTTACATAAGCAACTTGCAATATATTGAGGCTATCCAGATCTGGCGGATAAGAATTTCGAAGAGCATTCTCATATTTTTTATAGAATTTATCACAAATTATGGATTTTTCTTGTTCTGATCTGTTGCTGTCAAGTGCTCTATAAATGCTACTGTAAGTAAAAGTACGAACATTACTGGTAAAATCGTGCGCAAACTTGTCTCGATCATCAACACCTAAAGTATAAAACATAATCATAGTAGAGCACTTTTTCATCCAATCAGCATTGGATAAATTGTTTAAAGGTACTGCAGTTGATTTGAGTCTTGAATATATGTAAAAGGTCTGTAGAAGAACTAGAAAAGTACGAAAATTGCATAATTTCTTAATAAATAACGCTTCACTTTCTATGATCTAACTAGGACAGTCCTAACTTTGTTTTGAGGTAGTTAATTTAGTTCAATTGTTAAAAGTTGTTTGTATTTTTTACACTAATAACTAAGCACACATACCTGTATCTAATCTTTGTTTCCACTCAGCTGTATAGAAACAAGGAACTAACTCTTGTTTTACTTGATGGAGGTGTAAACCTAAGTCAGTCAAAACGTTTGAATTCACAAAGGGTTCTTTTATTTCATCTTGTCTTCTAAAACACGCTGCATAGGTGGTATTTTCCTTTTCGGTCTAGATAAGTACAAAGTGACCAAAATTATGGCATAAGAAGGTCTTATATTCTAACTAATGTATGAAAGGCCAGGAAGTTGGTAATAGATATAGTTATATCTGTCTGAAAATTGAAATAATTTCATTATACAACAGTAACCAAAGAAGCATTACCTTTGTGATAATATTGTCAGATACACATTTCTCTAGAATGTCATTCAGAAGTTTAAAATTGTTTTGTATTGACATTCTCGTCTCAGTTTCCCCTACACTAGACACGATAGCACATCCACCTGGATAAAAATACAACTCTGAAAATATTTCATTTTATTACCACGATCCCTAATAGTAAACTAGCTTTAATGCATATTATAGTATTAGGAAATAAAACCGAGTTCTTCTTTGTAGACTGGCAAGCTGTCACGTTACTTCCAAACTGGTCAATCAACATGAACATTGTTACGGTTTGTTATGTTTAACGGTTGAACACGAGCTAAGGTAATGGTACAGCACAGGCAGACATTCGTGAACAATACATTAGTAAGTGCAATCTCTCTGGTCTCATCAATAATTTCGATTAAGAAAGAAATGGCAATGGCTTTATGGATGCAAGCAGAAAATAACCAAAAATCTAGATCTGCATTTTAGTGAAATGCAATAAAAGAAATTAGATTCGGTAAAATATTTTCTTATGTAAATGTTACTTATATACATTTGAATACCTTGTTTTAGCTCTTTACCCCTTAGTTTCCAAAATTGTAACCAGTCTTCGGCGGCTAATTTTTTAATAACCTCCTTTTCCTCTTCATTTTTTGAAAGTAATCTGTATATACTGTCAGTTAAAATAATCGGCCTAAATCAAAATAAAACATAATCTGGTGCACAGGAGTTTGGACATTTCATTCAATCCTCTAAATATTAATTTTAACTATAGGATAAAATACCTGCATCAAGAGGAATTAATCACGAGGGGAGATTTTAGATATCATAAAACCGAGGGAATGTGTTTAACTGACTTTAATTGACAAAGATTCATTTGCTGTTATTTTTTGTTGTGGAAAAAATAATAAATAATGAAGAAGTAAGGGGCTCAATTGGTGGCTTAAGACTCGGTCAGTTCACCAACAACTGAGCTAGACTTACTAGTTGTAAGACATAGAACTTTAACGGTAAAGAATTTTAAGCAAACCTTGGGTCCGTGCCTCGGAAAAGATTAAGTGACACATTTTACTAACAATATTAAGTCAATATTATTGAGTGTGTTTCCCATATTGATGAATATGCTTGATTCCATATATTGACGGATTAAAATCACTTTTATACGTCCACATGGAAATTTAGACATAATATTGCTGTTGTCTTTGTTCGTCTACATTTCTTCTATACTCGATAGAGCTACAGTTTTGAATCAATCTTAACGAAACTTGGTATGCATGCATATATACTGATTAATTTAATAATAATCGGACGAACGGTGTGGGAGTCATTGCCCTGGACAGGTCAAATTTGGCAGGATAGAGGCTACCGTTTTTATCCGATCTTGATGAAACCTGGTATGCATGCGATTTCGGCCAAGTTGGAAAAGGTTTGGCATTTACCTAAAACATGACTGGGCCACTTTGTTATCATTTCTGACAGCTGGAAGTGGATGGAAGCTATCTTTAGTTTTATTGAAGATTCAACAATACTTGGACAATAGAGCGTAAATCTATTGAAACACAATATGTGTAGAGAATCCGTCAATACATTGAGCCAATCTATAATATTGATGGTTTTATTGAACGTGTATGGACCCCTTAAGAGATGTAGACAACTCAATCTAATATATAATACAAAATGCTAGACAAAACTCATTGTTCGTTCACAACTTGCATCTGATAGCGTCCACTGGAGTAAACCAACGCATTCTCTATTGCATATAAATCCAACATACTCGAGAAAATACGTTTTCGGGCATATGGATGGAGCTGAAGACCATTCAGCTAGACTATATGTTTGATAAGGCATTTTGGATTCTGGAATCATAACAATAATAGATAATTACTCCAGTATCTTATAAAAAAGAAAAAGAAAAATGAAAAAAAGAAAAGAAAAAAAAAAGGATAAATTATAAATATAATCTCCCGAATTTTATTTGTTATATTCCCGGAATTCTACATGATTGTATGATATCGAGCGATTTTTTTAAATTTATTACAGAACAATGGGGTGACACCGTTAAAAGTTAACAATAACTGGTATAAAGCTTATCTTCAATAACTATTCAGAATTTATGTCGAAATTCAGACCAAATTTAAAAGATATTTTCAATTCAACAAGATCAAACTGCTTAATTAGTACTGTCCCTTTTAAAACCTTTTGAAACAAATTCAGGTTGATCAAGACACTTTAGAAATATTTTCTTGTATAATTCACGTGTTTGATAATGAAACACCCTTCAAACTAAACTTAATTCACTTAAGGTTAAATTATAATTTCGTATATTTGTTGTCTTCTGATATTTGCAGCCTACATCGTACGTACACTGTAGTAAATAAACAAAATAAAAAAGATACGAAATTGTAATCTAAATTCTTAAATCTAAAAATTTTAAAATTTAAAAAAAAAAACAGAACCTAAATGAAAACCTTGTTCATATAATGCCCATTGGTATTATAACAATCTAACGTCTCGCCATTATTATTTTATATAATTTCAGATCAAAACAAAAGAAAAATACCTATCAGTTCCAGACCGCTTAGTCTATTTTATTTACGAAGTATTTGTTCCATCCTAGGCATGTACATTTTGGGAGAATTTAAAGTTTTCCTTTCCCAAAATTTAGGTAATCTGATCTGCGAAATGCCCAAACCCCAGAACAATAGTTCACGAAACTTTTATCCTTGGCACGCCGAAGTGTCAGTGTGACTTTACCTTGATAAAAAGTGTACAGCAGTAAAACTCATCAGTAAGTCGAATGTATTTGAAGGGACACATTGTTTGTAGAAATCCGTACCAGAAGCTGTTACATAGACATTGTCATAATCAAGACAATATGATCGTGGTTCAGGTATCAGTCCTGTAAATACAACATAAGGTTTGATGTAAGTTATGATTCCTTTCAGAGAGATAATAATGCATGCTAAATAGCGTCTTTAATCCTCCGATTACTCCGACAGTCTGAGAGCTTCTTTTGAGACTTGATATTTGCGAATATCTGTAAAAGTCGCCGACATCAAACAACCCAAAGAGAAACAACTATGCGAAAATCACAAGATTTGATGTTGAAACGTCGCTTACTCTTTAATTGATGTGACCATAGAACGTGCCTGTAAGATGTGGCGATAGGTAGTAGATAGGACAGGATAATATTTCGGTCTCCTGTTTAATAAGTGAATACGTATGAATGTTGGAAAGAAAAATCGTCTACTAGAGGTACACTCCTAGTCATTTCTCAATGTCAATGTGATCCAGCCGAAGTGAAAAGGCGTTCTTCAATAGCGTCATTTGGAAAAGAGGGCCAATTTCAAGTTCTAATTGACGATAATAGGAAAATTTTTTTTGATAAATCAATGTCCATCTGCCTATAATAGCAACAAATAGTTTTGATGCGGTTGGAAGGGTTATAAGTGCAATTATCGTCGCATTGTGGAAGCATATATATGTCAATTGTATTGCTAATTATGACGTAATTGAGTTGTTTGGCAATTCATTGGCTTCGGAAACCTTCTTCGGCACTTCAACCTACAATACTGGCATCAAACAGCAAGAATAATGCATTGAATTGTGTTAAGACCTTGTATTATTGTTTTTCCTAAATTAGGCCTATGTATAACCGTGCTGTTATTCAGAGAACTGCCTTAAAGATGATCCCAAAGAAACATCGAAATTAAAAAAGAAATAGCATCATATACTGGGCGTTAGGATAAGGGTTTGTAAAAAGGATCTCGTATCAAGATTCGAAAAATATGGATCGCTTCACGAATTTCTTCTCTGTATCGTTCCAATTTTAGTATATGTATGACGTGACTAAAACAATTGGAGAGTGGTCCGTAAGTCCATTAAGTACCCTAGACTTACCACACATCAAAGCTCCCTGGTATGACCCAGTTACACCCATTATCATTGTTAGCATGATCGTAATTGTGACATATAAACAAACCCGCGTGATAGGAAATGGACAATTGCGCATGCGCACTGAACTCAATAGAAATAGCACAAGGCAAAGTAGTTATTCTGTAAACGTCGCCGACATGCGAAAATCACAAGAGAAAGGAGGGGAGATTTGATGTTGAAACATCGCTTACCCTTTAATGGATGTGACCATAGAACGTGCCTGTAAGATGTGGCGATAGGTAGTAGATAGGACGGGATAATATCTCGGTCTCCTGTTTAATAGGTGAATACGTATGAATGTTAGAAAGAAAAATCGTCTGCTAGAGGTAAACTCCTAGTCATTTCTCAATGTCAATGTGATCCAGCCGAAGTGAAAAGGCGTTCTTCAATAGCGTCATTTGGAAAAGAGGGCCAATTTCAAGTTCTAATTGACGATAAGAGGAAAAAAATTTTTAATAAGTGAATATCCATCTGCCTATAATAGCAACAAATAGTTTTGATGCGGTTGGAAGGGTTATAAGTGCAATTATCGTCGCATTATGGAAGCATATATATGTCAATTGTATTGCTAATTATGACGTAATTGAGTTGTTTAGCAATTCATTGCCTTCGGAAACCTTCTTCGGCACATCAACCTACAATACTGGCATCAAATAG